TCCTTCGATGACGCCTGCTTTTTCGAAACGAGAGAGTTCATCGGAGACTTGTTGCCGAAGCAGAAATGGCAATCCGCGAAGTTTGACAGCGACTGGCTGCATACCTAAACGATGTTTTACTTCGTGCATGTAGCCTTTCACCAGTCCGAGTTTCTGGGTGAAGAGGTGATGAAATTCAGAAGGAGCATTGGCAGGAATTCTTAGGGTTTCTGAGCTTCAAACTCGTGAGCAGGGCAATGCTACACCGTCGAGGGTTATGTGGAGGCTTCGAATGGCATCCAACCCAAGAAGCGAAGAACCCTCTTTCATCATGTAAAATGTGACATCAGCAGTGGTATCATTGTTCCAAACGTTTTTAGAGAAGTGTCCGAGGTTGGGAATGCGTTTTTTTAATAGTCCTGAAGGACAACGAATGAGTCAAGTAGTCTGGTTCCTCAAATGTACTTCTTGAAATCATGTAAGTTAAGCAATGATGCGGTCGCACCGGTGTCAATGAGGAAAGCAATATTAACTTGACCAACTTGAAGAGTAATCTTCAGCGGCGAAGGATAGCTGGAGCGTTCATATATGTTTACAATTGTAACTGTGTTTGTTACAGCAGTATCTTGTACTTCAGTTACGTTCTGTTGAGACATGCTGACATTTGATGAGCGGTATAGAGCTCGGTAGTGACCTCGTTTCTCGCATGCAAAACAAGTGCGATTGCGGACTAAACAATCATAGAAATTCGCATAGTGTTAACATCTTCATCTGTAGCAGACACCCGATTCAAATTGATGTGGTGCAACCTGGTGGCTAACGAAATTCGATGTACTAAGACGGTAGACGTGGTACCCGCGGCCATGCTGGCGTGCTGCTGAGTTCTGTCGGAAAGGCCGTCAGCCATTATTTATGTTTTTGACGGCCATCTTGTAGACCTAGATGTAATCCGATCTCATCAACCAATGCGTTCGCAAAGTTCTGCATTTCGAGCTCGGCACGCTCTTCTTCCTTCGCAATTTGAACTGCTGTCTGTAAAGTAAGGGTCCTACTAGCAGAGGCCGATGACCAATGATTGGAAACAGCTTGGATTCCCATCGGCTTCCAATATCATTGGCCAATGTCCGGACAGCGTGACAGAAAAGGGCATGACACGCAAGCAAAATATGGGCGAGATGGCAGCGAAAGCCTCAAATCTTTTTTAAGTGTGTGTTTCTCTTCGTTTTTCGCCCTTCTCAATAGTTAGAACAAAACACAAGTTTTGGAAAATACCTCTTATATTTAACATGGAGGCCAAGGGCTTTCTTGACTCATACTCTGGTTGCTGACCAATGCTGGCAGAATTTGCCTGGTCATCAAGCCTACTACTTTTGTGTATTATAATCTATTCGACGTAAATTCGTTGCACGCGAGCACGTACAAGCGGTAAAAAAAGTAAGGCGGTTAGAGCGGATTTGTCCGCTTCTTTGGGCACTTTGTCGTCAATTCAGACAAACAACTACCGAATAGCCACGCACGATCATTTTTTTTTCGGTCATTATTTCAAATCCTGATGGCTTCTCTACGGAATACCTCTTTTTGTTTTCTTTTCATCCAAAAGACCAGAAGTGTACCAGCAGGTGCACAGTGTGGCGTTTAAACTGCACACTTTTTCCCGCGCGCGAGCAGTTTGGCCCATAAACAGCCCTACTGAGCTTAAGAAAAATAGTTCACCAAAGCATCCACACAGGCAATTTTCAGAAGCCCACAAACTGTAACAGCTGTAAAGCGCTTACGTAAAAGCACAAAAGTCATAAAAAATATTGAAATTTATCTCGCTTTAAGCCAGTATACACGCATGCACAGTTTATGCTCGCTTCCACATTCCGCTACGTGCGTGTATTACTGCACGCAGTCTTCACCTTGTTCGCACGTTAGATAAAATCACGGCCGTCACAGCCGTGCACCGACCAGCTGTTTATTCAAGTTGAAACAGAAGGTGAGTAAATACCAGCAGTACCTGTATTTGCCCTTGTTCTTTCAGTGCCTTATGCGAATTGGCGGTCAAGTTTATGGCGGTGTAAATAGCGCATGTGCTGAGAAGCTGGGGCTGAGTAGTCCTAGCTGTAGTCCTAGCTCGTCTTGGCGAGATTGCACATGGCGTACTTTTCTCTTGATACAAGTAAAAACCGGACATATTCAAAACGTTCTTCGGTACAATGTTCAAGCACTGATCCAATTCGGCGTATTTTTTTAAATGGGCGATACACTTTTTTGGGGAAATCTTGAACTTAACTGAAACAGGCCCTGTCCGAAGGACAGTCACCAAGCCGCCAGTTGTGTATGTTGACGTGTGGTGCGCGGCCATTTCATGTTTGCTTCTGGCGGGACTGCCTGTCGCTGATGACGAGTGCATCTCGCTAACACGTCACGCGATTTAGGGTCGGCGTCAGTGCTTTAATAATTATTTTGAAATTATAAACTTGTGCGTGTGGTCATACCTAAAAGGTAAAGTGGATATGAAGGCTGGTGCCGAATGCGAGAAAGTCATGGGGTCACCATCCAAATTCAGCTGCGCCTGTATTTTTTTTCTTTTAGGTAAAGCTTTGACGCAGTAAGGTTCCTCGGTATTGTTAAGTATACTTTTGTGAAATTCTTCTTTTGAAAAAAAATATTATGATGCAATTTCAGCTTCAGGGACTTCGGGATTTCATAAATGAATTTGACCATGAACTGTCTTATCTGAGAAGACGTTTTGATTGTAGGTATCAGTGTTTCTTGGTGGTGTTGATTTTTTGGTATTTTCGTGGGTCATTCGCGATCATCTCTGCGTACAGTACTGCCATTTCTGTTTATTTTGTGCCATTGATGACTCTGTGATTCTTTGGTGTGTTTTCCGAAGCTGTCAATTCAGGGGCGTCCACCTCGTCAAGCAACTTCTCACAGTAGCTTTTTGCGGTTGCTCCATCCTTTTATGGAAAAGGAAAATAAAGATTTGATTTGATTTATCAATACTGAGAAAGTTGTAATTTCAGATGTTGGTCCAGTTTGAAAGTTGTGGTTAGTCAATGAGTACGCAACGTTTGTGAGCTATGCTATTCTGAATGTATTGTCTTTCTTCAAAATTTTCATTGTATGGTCTGTCGTAAATGATCTATCATCAGCTAAATGTATAATTAGTAACGTATATCTGTTTTATTCTCTTGCATAGAGTGCCACTTGTCAGACTATTTATAAATTACACAAAAACACACGATTCTTCAAGCTGTTCAAAAGAAACTTGATAAAACTCATAAAAAATGCTGATTACAAGAAATAATCTGGCCTGTAAGAACTGACTGGGTCTTGTGAAGTTTAATCACAATTTTCTACAATCAAGGCATACTTTTTCCAGTCCTACAAGTACTTTGTAGAATGTGCCATGAATATTTTGATGAAATGGTACTGTTATGTTATGGCAAGATTCTGTTGCTACAATAACCACTGCATATAGTAGATAATTTTTCAAAGCTTTAAAACATGTGTTACGTTTATCAATTTTCTAATTTGTGTATTGCTTTTTTGTTACAGGTCAGCTATTTGTTAATAGAAAATTTCAGCAGTGTTCAATATGCTATGCACAGAACGCTCCATCACATTGTACTAGTGTGGTTGCAAAGAAGTACTGCTGAGCCGTTGAGAACAATTTTCCAATTAAATGCACGCAAATGTGTTGCTGCGCCTGCTTGGTGAGCATCAACAGAAAACAAATGAATTCGTTTCTTGCTTTGGCTTTTATTGGCAACATCCTGAAGACTTTGTGTTATGTAGACTTCTCAGTGCTGTAATATTTTGGTTGTTGTTCTTTAGAAAATGTTTCACTAGAACCAGAATATTGCACATACTGCATCACTGAAGTTTGGAAATTTGACCTACTAATACAATTTTTTTTCAGTTATATATGCTACCTCTCTGAAAAAAGCCAACTTCTGCCATCTGGAGCAAGATTGAGCATTGAAACAGTTTCACTGCCACCGTATTCACCACTTCAATGTTTTCTAATTTTATTTCCTGTTCTATCAGCTTGCCGATTTGTGGAAGCCGAGAACCAGAGCACATAAACAATTTCGCCGTTTAAACAGTCAGCTGCAAGACTAAGCGGCAGCACTGCTCAATACTGAGCATAGAAATAAAATAAAGCATTTACAACACAAGGTTAATGACAAAAATAACCTTCGTAAATAAAAATGCATCGACTACCTGAGTAATGTTTATAAATATAAAGGTACGTACATGCAAGAAAAAAAAAACAAGGGCACTAAACGTTGCTTCTGTGCCAATGCTGCTTCCATAATGATATCAGTAATAAAATTACCTTTTTCTTCAATTGAGAGAATATATGGTCTAGAATGTGCGAGGATGTTTTTTTTATTTTTTTCGTATTGATGGGGTTCTCTCATGACTAGAGGCCGTATTTTTAGGCACTAAAAAGTGTAATTTAGATTCCAAAGATAGGCAGGTAAAATACTATTTTAGGCCCTCAATATAATAATTATAGGCACAATAAACTTCTACAAACATTTATATATCCCAAAGCAACGACGTCGGTGACTTGTATCTACGGCAAGAAGCAAAAAAATGATGCTGTTTAAGATAGCAGAAAGATACTAACGATAGAACATTGGCACGCATTTCCCGCGTGATTCACAGTATGTGGTCTTTCATTTTATCGTCTAGCATTGTGTGTCAAGTGTCTACCATTCAATTAACACTCTCCTGGGTCTCTCTTGTTTCATTGTGTCTCGGAAGGGCAGCGCAGGAGCAAATAACCAGACCACTGATACCCCAGAAGAGAGGTACGCTAGGTCTAATCACATAGGACCGATTTCTCCCCTATCGGTGAACACCTTAAAGAGTCCCTCACTGGGTTTGGGCATTTCAAGCTGACAAGCGTATTGGTGCACTGGGCACTCCAGATCATTCCTGTTAAGATTCGCAAGATTACATGTCGCGGAAAAACGCTCAATTTCTAATGAATGCTACTTTCTCTTCTCGCGGGCGTGCGCCCCAAGATCGGGAGTGACGTACAGCAAGGAATGGTTCTGTTTTCACGTCACTCCTTTACGTTAACCTTGGTAGGCTGACGTCACATACCATGCACTCTTCCTCAGAACTTCGGTAAATGCTAGCTATATTCAGAAAACAGATGAAAAAATGCCCCGCCTCCTGAATATATCCTGCATTTTAAATGGTACCACATTAACAGCGTTGCACGTGACATTACTCTACTTGGCATGTGCGATTTGTGTGTTCTGTTGTGTAGCACGAATGAGGAGTGCTTTGGTTTAGGCTAGCTGCTTCATATCATTTCTAAAGGGAAGCGCAAAGACAAAGGGAAAAGAAAGACATCGCTGTTTGACTCTATGTCTTTCTTTTCCCTCTGTCTTAGCACTGCTTTTTTCAAAATCAGTATAATGAATGAAAGCTGAGAAAAATAATAAAACACAAAACATATTCCCAGCTTGTTATTATTTTTATTCTTGATTTGAATCGCCTCGACATTCTATTCACTAAACCTGCCCTTATTTCGCGTCCGCCTCGATGGACCAGTCGCTATAGGGTGCTCCGCTGCTGACCCGAATGCCACGGGTTCGATTGTGGCCGTGGCGGTCACATCTAGATGGAGGCGAAAAAGTAGATGCCCGTGTACTGCGCGATGTCAGTGCACGGTAAAACGCACCAGATGGTCAAAATTTGCGGAGACCTCCACTACGGCATACCTCATACTCATATCAGGATTTTTTTACGTAAAACCACACATACTACCCCTGCTACTACTACTACTACTACTACTACTACTGCAATCCCATTTCGCTTGCATTCGTCTTCTCGTCGTCCCTGCATAGTGCCTTCGCCAACCCTGACAACGCTTAGCTCGAGTTTGGCGCGTCTTCTCTGAACGCAGTTTCAGCGGAGTGACGTGGTGTATCGCAGTCACAATACATGATCTTTGCCAGCCTCTCCGAAAGTACACTCACTGACTGATCCATCCCAACGAAACTGGTAATACACAACAAAGAACGCCAAACGACAACATCGATGGCGAACGTGCACAAGTAGGCTGGTGCACGTCATGCGCTCGTGACCTTGCTTACGCGTGTTCTTGGTGCGTATGCGTCATGTGATTCTCCAGCCCCGTACCAAAGAGAACAGGGAAGGAATGAGGCTCGCGAAGGCTACATGGGACGAGAGGTAAGGGATTCAAGCTTGCTTTTTTGCATCATGCTTTGGTGGCACGTAGCGAACTAATTTGAAAAATCACCGTGGTACAACGCTTTTCATTGGGCACGCAAGAACTTCTAGCGTCTAACTACAACTTATTATGCCACCTAGAGGGGATGATTAAAAAGTAAATTACAAACAAACAAAACCCGCATGCACATTACATTTTTACCCGAAGGGGCTGCAGCAGATGGGTTACAATGTCGAAGAAAACACACCTTCATTCACACAACACACTTTGTTCTCTTTATAAGCCATTTCATTCTGTCATAAAACTAACAATAATATCTAATACGACATTCTAAAATGTAATTACCATTGCGCGAGGAGGACTGTTAAGGTACATTCGTTTTGGAATGCGAGTTTTACCATGAAATGCTTGACACAGGACCTTTATCCGCCGTTTAATTCGACATGATGATGGTAATTCTCATCCTAGTTCATTTTTCATATTGTTACAGCTGTCATTTTTGAGTAATGGCTTAGGACAAACCTTGATGCCCCGTTCCGTATTTTTTCGTGTTTGTCACTTACATATGACAAGAGATCTCATACGGGACAAGCATATTTAAGCATACGGTAAATGTCTACTAAATACACCATTGATTGTAAACATGACGGTGCCTGTCTCAGGCTTTGCTGCATGAAGTACAACAATTTGGTGACCTTAGCCACCACTGAATCAACAAGAGCATTCCATGAGTGGCCTTCCATGGTTTTTCATTCGTTCTCCAGCTGCCCGCAACTGCCCAGAAAAACCTGCTCTTCCTTTCCCACCGCAACACCCAGGTTTTCAGGGTTCTTGTTCAGTTCCTTCAGTGCACTGAATAGCTGTCTGTAGAGGGTGGTCGCCACGTCCTCGGCCATAGGCATCTTTTTTTTTGTTTTCTTGTCCCATCTTTAATTCTCTCTCCTCCTTCCCGTGCTGACGCTGAGACGTGCTTCCACTTAGGGCTGCAGAAATAGCGGCTTTTGCACTCCTCATGCTCCTCTTCCAATCGCTTGAAGCATGTCAACTTTGTCTTCGTTGAACCTTATAGCGTTTGTAAATATCAATGCTGCCTTTTTTTTTACCTGGATAATGGTTTCACACCACGCTCCAAAACAAAATTTGGCTTTGAATGGCACTCATATATGCGCTAATTTGGAAATAGGCATTTATAGGCACTTATAGGCATTTAGGCACGAACACCAAAAATAGGCATTTAGAGGCACTATAAACGCACTATAAAAGCCCTTCTTAATCTCTAATTGATGCTCATATATCAAAATGGCAAAATGGGAATGCAAGGAACAAAATAGGCATTTGCCCATAGTCCGGTCTCTACTCATGACTGTTCAAGCTACTTCAGTAACAAAAAAGCATCATGCAGTCCAACAAGCATTTTCCTCCCGTATATGTAAGTGCTGTCATTATCATAATCATGCATAGCCAATTTGCTTTCCAACAAATGTTCCTACTGTGTTTTGTTGGGAATTGGTGAAAGCGGTTGCCTAAGAGATGACTTAATGAAGAAGAGGACCTCATGATGTTTTTTTTTCCTCATTTTCCAGATGAGACATACCCTGTTTAACGAAACTGACGCAGCTGTTTCGAACGTAACAAAAGTATGGCTCGTGTTTGCTTCAGATCAAGAAGGTGCACCTAACCTATGTAAGAAGGCACGCCACTACGATAGATGACTTCAAGAACAGCCCAAGCAACATTTGAGAATCACAAGAGTTCGGGAAATAAAAAATGGCATATTGCCTTCTATATAATATGTGTAAAATAAACCTGAAGCACCAAAAATATTTGTCTTGTTACTTCTCGTGGGGAGGAGGGGGGGGGGGCTAGCCAAAATCTAGAAAAAAGTAGTCAGCCATCAAATTGTAGCCAAGACAAAAAAACCTAAATGTTCCAGATATGCATTGGCAAAAATGCTTGACTCCCATGCCAAGAACATGCTTGGCAATTGCATGGTATTTCAACGCAGTGCCAACCACGAAAAGGGGTCTTCCCAATGATTTTCCAAGCACGACATTCCTTTGCTTGGCCTATGATAGGCTCGTCAATTTTCCCAAGCACATACTTCCCTTGGCCTCCAATAACTTTCCAAGCATGAACAGCTTGGCCACTGATGATTTGCCACGCTTGGCCCAAGCAAATTTGCTGGTAGGGGGTAGGACCCACTTGCAAGAGTCGTCTTCGCAAATTTTGTGCAGTTATTCCGCTGAACAGCTGATTGTGGACCACGGAATTGACAATTTTTGAAAAAGTGAGCGCCCCTGTCGTGTAAACAGAAAAGCTTCGCTCGTGCCTTTGATTCGAAAATATCTTCGCCAACTAACATGCTTAAGCCCCGCCGCGGTGGTCTAGTGGCTAAGGTACTCGGCTGCTGACCCGCAGGTCGCGGGTTCGATTCCCGGCTGCGGCGGCTGCATTTCCGATGGAGGCGGAAATGTTGTAGGCCCGTGTACTCAGATTTGGGTGCACGTTAAAGAACCCCAGGTGGTCAAAATTTCCGGAGCCCTCCACTACGGCGTCTCTCATAATCAAATGGTGGTTTTGGGACGTTAAACCCCACAAATCAATCAACTAACATGCTTAAGGCAGTGTTTAGCCCTTCTGGTGCACCTGTTTTGTTGCTTTAGGGCTAAAAACTTGTGCCTATTATTGAAAAAACATGCTAAAGGAGGAAAACATTTCATTTATTTGTATAAACGGTGTAAAACAAGGATTTCTCGCGTTTCAGCCTGAGCAACAACCAAGTGAGGCGATAGTCGCACTCCGCTACCTCGTCTGTTCGTCACGCTCATCGCACCTGCTCCTTCAAGGACGAACATTATCATGTCATACACTCCAAGTTGACCATTGATACATGTTTGGTGAGGGGTTTGGTGAGGGCGACTTGTGCACCGTCTCTGAGGTATGGTGAAAATCGCGGTGTTCGCCGTTACTATGGGTCACATCGTTGGAGCGCGCTGCAGCTGTGTTACCGGGAGACATTGTTTTTTATATAAGTATAGAACGTACTATAGGCGTTTACAGTGCACCCTAATTTAAGGTGCATCTAGTAAAAGGAGCACTGACATGAAAACTTTGGGCTCGCGTTTTTCTGCTACAATGTGTAGCTGGGGGCCTGTTAGTCATGACACGACACATTGTTTGCTGCAGCACGTGACAGATAATTAACTACACTATCGATCCGTTTCAGTTTCGGTTTGAGAGAGCTCCAAAAACTGAGTGCAACTGCAGCCTAATAGAGTGTGCAGATCTTGACCACGTCACCAAACAGAACCATGACACACTTCCGCACGGTCCGCATCATGAAATGCTTTCGAATAGGAAATGGTGCTGCAGTGTCGCCAAGCACAAATCTTTCTAAACGTGCGCCACGGCCATGCACTCGCAATCAGCCGCCAAAAAGTTTAGACTGCAGGAAAAAGCGCGGCGACAGAAATGGTGGCTATGGCGTCATCCTAACTTCTTTTGTTGATTGCAGCATGGTGATGGGGGGGGGGGTGAGTAGGGGGTCACCTCAGGGACCCCTTCGATGGTGTCAATGGCGCAATGCCGTCGAAGACTCACGCAAAATTAAAATTCTTTTAAAATACTTCCACAGTTATATTCGCTGTTGATACTTTGCAGATGATATACAAATGTTCTTGGGAATCAACCCCACAGGCTATCTCGGCCGCGAAATTTTGTGTCAGTGCCCCTTTAAAATTGCCAAAGTGTCAAATGACGATGTAAATGAATATGCACCTTCCTTATACTCTACATTCTATTTCATCACGTAACACGAGTGTCTCCTACTTTACATAAACGGGCTACGGACGCAGCTGCCACAGTTGTGATCATTAAATTACCCGTGCCTCTGTGAGTCATGGTGCATGCAGATACGCGAGAGCGCTATCCTCGCATATTAATGGAAATATTCTGCGGTCTATTAGAAACACTGATATACGAAATACTCGTGTGCTGTGAAGTAAAGAAATCCAAGAGTGTTAGGTCAGCCAGCGCTGGCTCAGCACCCACGGCGAGCCACGTATGCCAGACTCCTCTCTTTCAATAAAGGCTCCTCCTCCATCAATATTTCACATGCCTTCAGATGTTGTCCGAGCATCTCTTTTCAGTACGTAGCCTCCCGGACGAGAGCCTGTGAAAGTTAGCGCTCATTACTCGTCTTAGCTGCGAGGACTCAAAAGAATGACGATGAAGGCACAACCAATCACACACAGTCACCGGTTGTTTTCGTAGGTTTTTCTCCCACATAAACACAAACTATCAGGCCCAACTCCTCACGCCTTTATCTCCGAGGAGAAGAAAGAAACTTTATTCAGGAAAAAAAAAGTAAATGCAGGTAAAATATTTTGCGCAGTGTGCTGGCATATTTGCCCTAACTACGAAACCAAGGCCACTCAACCATGGCACACGAATGTATGACCGGCGGCCAGCTGGGCTGATGTTTTCCAACCAAAACCAAAACGCCTGTAGAGGGCACTACCTTGTGCCCTCTACAGGCGTTACTGCTCATGCACAGTATTTTTCCCGCAAATGGTCAATTGGCGAAGGCGCCAATGTTGCATTTGCTCGTCATTGCATTTAAAGCAGAAACGTAGTCAGTAACTGATTCCTCCAGTATTTGCTTGCGCATTTTGAAGTGGTGACGATCTAGGACTTCACTGCTTGGAGCCCTGAAATGGTTCTCTGGTAGGGTGAGGGCTGCGATGTATTCATCCTGCATGCTTTTGCCCAGAGTCCCGTCTACACTTTCCGCCTGGTCCTGTGCATTTTGTAGTGTCCAGTAGACATCAAGGCCCTCAACTCGGAGTGCCTTAAGTGGTAGATTCTTGTAAAGAGCGGGCCGGGTGGTGCCACCGGTGGCGACGTCGACGTATGCCTGAAAGACACGGCACCATTCAGCCCAAGGTACGGGAGGAGTGCCCGGAGTCTGCAGGAACGGCGGAGGAGCAGTCGCGGAAGTCATGCTGGAACGCTAAGAACGCTAAGGCACTGAGGACTCCCAGTCGCCAGTATGCATCGGCGAGTCACTGGTGCCAGCAAGTATTGGCCAAACGTGCAGGGGTGGCTGCAGTAGCACAGTAGGCCTCGCGCATTTGCAGCGTGCAAGTACAGCGGTGCCCTGTAAATGTGCTCGAAAAGGTGGCAATCTGCGTAGAAAATTGGCGGAAGATGCCGGCAAAGTATTTAAGCTAATTACTTCTTGTTCATCTGATTGCCAGTTTGTTGTATCGCCGTTGGGCCACCGTCCGACCGAGACAATGGGCGCATTAGTGCCGGAGCGGTGTCAAGAATGTCACGCTGGCCGAGAACCGGGAGGGGGCTGTTTATTCAGAGAGCGTGCATTAGGGCGTAGCAATGGTTCACAATATCATCATTGCGTGGCGCTATGCGACACATTCTATCGAAACCAAAACTTATCGGAGGTCATAAAATGCCGCACACAACTGTTATCATTAAAAATAGAGATTGCCAATTTTTACCTACTGAACTTCAAATTTAACTTATCTCCCTCATTACCGCAGATGTCTATTAATCCCTGCAGATGAACTGATTTGTGGGGTTCAATGTCCCAAAACCACCATATTATTATGAGAGACGCTCAATCCCTGGAGATTTTCCTTGTTGTCGGCTAATAATACTATACCATCTGCATACATCAATGCTGGCAATGACTGTTTAACGTGTTTTCTTTGCTTGGCAAAACAGAGGCTGAAGACGAGTCGACTCCCTTCTAATTTGGCTTCTAGTTCCCATATATATATATATATATATATATATATATATATATATATATATATATATATATATATATATATATATACCCCCCGAACAAATACCTTTAAGTTTTCATATTTTCCACGCACGGTAGATGACTGGAATAAATTGCCAGAAAGAATTTTTTGTGGAAATTTTATGACAGCCCTACACGATCATTTTAGAAACTTTTAATTACTGACGTTCGGGTTTTTAGCAATGTTTCTTGAAGTTGTGCGTGATTTTCTAGTTTTATTTGGATTGGAAACCCTGCTATGTTTGTGCGAAAAGTCGGTTTCACCGTGGCTTGTTTTGTAGTTCCAAGTGAATTCTGCGTTTTTGTTGCTTCATTGTTTTTGTTACTTTGCATTGCATTGTATGTGCGTGAACATTCTTTTTTTTCTGCCCGTCCTGCTTGGACCATTAAATTGGTCTGCAGTATTGTATAAATAAATAAATATATATATGGAGCACATCACCGCTGGGGAAATATACCAGGTGTAACCAAGAAAAGGCGCACCTGCAGTTTATATATATTATATATATATATATATATATATATATATATATATATATATTATATATATATATATATATATATAGTATATATATATATATATATATATATATATATATATATATATATATAATATATATATATATATATATATATATATTGTGGCAAAGCCTCTGAACAGTGGGGTCGTCCTCTCCAGCGCCTTCTAGTGGGTCGCACTTTTCATAAGACGAAGAGCAGCTCGTGCAGAGACACGGTCCCCGCATTGACTGTTGCTCTCGTGAATCATAGCGGAGTGTCCGCCAATAAAGTCTTGACAATTTGGTGGTATATATATTATATATATATATATATATATATATATATATAGATCTATATATATATATATATATATAACAAAGCTGACAAGGTACATCCCTGTTGAAGCTTGCATTGTATTTCAATAGGTTCAGATACCTGTTCTTCCCATTTTATAACTACCTTCTTTCATTTATAGATATTTTTTAGAAGA